GATATTCCCACGTGTATTGGATTTTTTTATTTGGCCTAATTTCGAAGTCATAACCTTCGTGTCGGATTGTGTGCCTCATGCAAGGACATTATAAATATATTATGCGTAGTCCTTCTGCGTTTAGAAAGTTTATTACATGATTTTCATAACACAATGATGTAATATAATCTTATCAAAGATATATTTGCAACAGGAGATTCCAAAATCTATTCTAAGTCGCAATATAAAACATATAATTAATGTATTTTAACCTTTAAATGCTTCCTAAGTAAATAAAAACTACAAAAGCTAATCTAAAGCAACCTTCATCCAATACCTGAACCAATTTATTAAACGAATCCAAATTAACCTTTCTTATTTCATCAATATTTATTAACCTAAGTTTCTTATGAAAGTAATTTCAATAATCAACCTTTCAACAGTTTTTTAGTTTCAGTTTTAATTTCTTTATTTAGTTGTTAATTAAGTTATATTCTATTATTATTATTAGATTTGTGGCCTTTTGTGAGCTATTGCTCTTTGTGCCGTTACATACTTTTCAACTTAATATCCGTAGCTTATATTCTGAACTTAGGACTGTTCGAATTAATAATTTTTATTCTTTAGTTAAAGCTAATAGTTTTGATATATAAGTATACTATGAAACCTTATACAAATCAGATTAATTTGAATCGAGTTCTATAGAATCTGAATTCTCATTATTTACCCTAATTAAGTCCCCTTTTTTCACAACAAACAAATTGAAATTGTCAATCCAGTCTTTATCCATATTTTCTCAACCAATACACTGGAGGTAGATATAAAGTTTAGATTCTACTGTCTTTTGGAAATAGTTGTTCCGCGTTATATGGAACTTCATTGTAAAAATACCGTGAAATTACTAGATATTACAGCGGATTTACTGTTTTTTTTATATGAAATTCAACTTATGACTTACATCTGAAGTTGAATGTATGTAATTTCTTATTATTTTATGTTTTGTAAATGAGGCTTTTAATTTTAATATATATTTTTTACGTATTTTGAAATAAATTATTACTATTGCTATACTCGAAATTTAGGTATTGTTACATTGATGATTAGTAGTTGATGGTTATTATTCGACGAATCATATATACTGAAACGATTGAAATAGTTGCAGATAGTAATAATAATAATAAAGCGGCTGCGGGATGTTTGGAGTGTCGTTAATTCGTTATTATTGTTGAACAGTGGGTGTAATTTGTTGTGCAGGGAGCATGCAAAACGGGGGTGGAAGGGTGGAGAGTGGTTGGTTAGGCTTTGCGAATAACGCACCGCCGGGGGTTGTCGCAATAAACAATTTTTCTGGTCCAAGTCGTTACATATAATTTCGCGATATGAATTAAAATTAATTAATTTATGTCTATTCATTTGTTTTGCATGTATGTAAATTCGGTAACAATCCGTTTTAATTCCCGTTCGAATTAGTATTAGCTGTAATTCACTGCTCCAGCACCCTCCTCCGACCACCCACCTTTTGCTCGTATTTTGCTATATCCTATACATCCCTTTCAGTCCACATTCGAAACTAAATTTAACAATGCCAAAGCCATTCCATTTTTGTTGCTCCCCTCACGTGTGCACACAGAGAAACTGTTCGTACAACTCTTTGTGACTGCTTTATTTTGGTTTGTTGCATTCCCCTGTTTGCATTTTTTCCCATTTAAATTGAATCATTTGCGAAACACTTAATATTCAAATCGATTTCGATTACACATCTCTCTTTCTCTCGACTGTATTGATGAATTGCAATAATTACGAGCAGGACCATAAATTTACATTAATATCGAAGTTGCTTTCTCGTCCCGAGTTTTGTCCGGCTAACTGCTAACCCTTTTGATATAGCCAACTAATAAATGCGATGCCCATGGTTACGTATCGCGTAATGGATTTAATAGCCTGCTCTCAATAATTTAATGGCCATTTCAAACGTTAATAGCTATCGAGCATTTCCTGCTTTTTGAACATTTCACTGTACATTTTTTTTTATATATTTATATATGAATTCATATCATTTATTCGCTTCAATAATGCACTGACCATTTTATAGTTTTACATTATTTGTTTCTGACAAAATAAAATTTTAAATACAATAAAAAAAAAATATATTTACATATTAAATATAATTTCATCTAATTCAATCAAATTATTATGAAATGAAATTACTATGTAATTATTATAAAATTAACTTTAGTAAAAAATAATCAATAAATATTGAAAAATCAATTGAAATAATATAAAATATTGAAGATTCTAATTATAAATGTTGTTTTTAATTTGTTCATATTGTGGTTATTTTATTTATGAAGTTTATAGACATTTTAATCTGATTTATATTTCATTATTAATCGACAAATTTATCGAGTATGAAGGGTAATATTGGTGCAACTGAAAGTTTCCACTTTGTAACATTTTTAATTAAATATACTTGAATATATGCCGAGATTAAAATGTTGTATGGAGTTGAAAGGCAATACCTGTTTAATCCATAAAAGGATAAATGATTTTATATAATACTTTATGAAAGGATTACCAAAGGATTATTCGTATTAGAAAACATAAAATTTAGAAATAATTTGGATTTTTTAATTAGGAAGAAATATTAGAATTTTTCATATAATCAAATATTCTGAGATTTATTTGTAATTACAGTGGATTGTTCGGAAAATAATTTATATGAGCGTAGTTGTATGTTCTACATTTCATTAAAATGATAATGGAAAAATCACAAATTTTTCTTGCAAGAATTGTACCAAAACATTTTATAACTTTAACTGATTCCAAAAAGTATACTAAGCTGTTATGTAATAAGGATATTGTGGAAATTAATTAATTAAGTTTATATTATGGAAATATTTCGAGGATTATGAGAATGATTATAAGAAAAAAACAATATTTTAATATATTTAGCATAAAATTTGCATATATGAAAGTTAAATGAACGACAACTTTAAGAAGTACTGTGACTAGTATAAATTGAAACATTTCAGAACCGCTGAATATATATTTTTTTTATTTCCGTGCAGACGCGAATTTCATATCCCATTTATTCCCTTTAGAAAATTTGTCAAACCGCGTCAACGTTATAAAATTAATTTCAAAAGTCTGCGATTTTTATTTACGCTCCCTCCGCACGTGTATATACAACGCGGTCTGTAACATCGCGGGGCTCTGTGTGTGTATGTGTGTTTTTTCTTCTATGAAATGCAAAACTGTCCTCCCCTTGTGGCATACATAAATTAGTTTGCGAAAACAGAGCGCGACGCGCACACGGATTTTCCGCGATAACGCATGATAAATAGTCAAATTAATAGGTCTAAAAGTCTAGTCTTGCGCCCCAGTTGGTCCCCTTTCCTATTGCAGCAAACCAACGAAAACTTTAATTTATCACCAAAACAAGCCACCCATCTCCGTCCACCCCTTATCACGCAAACCTAGATGTACGTGTATGTGTGTTAACCATATTTTTTTTTTGTGTTTGCTCCTCCGGTTTGTTTTTGGGGTGGATGACGGCCTCGGCTCCGGTTCCATCTGACATCTTGCTTATATTCGAGTTCCGACGATAAATGCACACGTAATTAGTTTTTCATCTCGGACAAAACTCAATTTGGAAAAAGTTGTCTGGACGTCGAGCCGCCCAACCTTTCCCAGTTATATAATGTTTTTTTTTTCTTCTTTTGCTCATATAATTGCTCAGGATTTATGGCGTTCCCGACCTCAATACATCTTTTTTTTTCGCGTGTTGTTAATAAAATTATGGATAAGCATTGGAGAGGAAATAAAGGAAGCAGAGCGTCGGAAGGCACAAAATCGAACAGAAAACAGAACAAAAAAACACCCCTCCGTCTTTTAGAAGTAAAAAAAGACGAATATCTTCCTACAATTTCCTACAGGAAATAATGCAATCGTAAGTTTTAAATCACTTACTCGTTCTGAACTCCTTACAAATGTTTTTTTTTTTATATTTTAACAATTCTATAATAAAAAATATTAATTTTCTTTGAAGCACAATTGAATTTTCTAAGTATTAACTATAATTAAGCTAAAAAGAAAATATTGGAAAGTTATTTAAAAAAAAAAACATGAAATGTAACTTCTATAAAGTTATTAAATCAACGATTGGTTAACTAACAATTTGGATTCGGTTAACGAACTCTCACTGTATTTAATTCAAACTTATTCTAGTCAATTTTTTTTGCACTATAACAATTACATAAAAAGCTACAGAATTAAATAATTCAAGGCAATGTCTATATTGGTTTACCAACGTGACGTGGCATTTCCAGAATACAAAACATATTAAATATGCATGAAAAAAAAAGTAATACAACTCTGAAGGTTGCATTAGGATCAGGGTGAATAAGGGTGGCGGTCTTTGAAAAGTGCTCGGCTCTCCTCTCCTGCAAGGTATTAAGTTTTTTTTTCGGCCTAAATTCGCAGATCGAAATGGCTCGAAACACTTTTCCGGTTGGTAAAATCGAAACGGCCTGATTTTATTATAAAACTGAATTCAACTGATATATGAGCCGTTATTTTAGAAAGTGGTATAAATCCACTTTTGAAAAAAATGGTTAAGTTATACAAATAAAATGATTTTAAATGAGTTTTTACGATACTATTTCCGTCACACTTTGTGACCTAATTAACTAATGTATTAATGTTATTAAGGGAAGAAAAATGAGTATTAATTGGTGCACAAGAAGTTGCATACTAAAAGAATGATAAAAATAGAAATTTTTAACTTTTGATTTGTTTTTATTATATAATTTGTGGTAACTATTAAACCTATAAATATTTTTTGTAAAGATACAGAAAAATATTGGGTTGTAAACAATATCTATATAAAGTTGCCTACAATATATACTTTTAAAAAAAGTTTATTCATTCTACTTATTTCGAGTGGACTGAAAAAGTGATTTCATTTGAGAAGAGGTTTTTTTTTATCTCTTCACTATCACTAAGTAAGTGGTCTATACATAGAAAGTACAGTAAATCTAGGCACATTTTGGTGTAGAGAATCGCTGTTGAAACACTAATCAATTTAGTGTAGTTAAGAATGAGTCCTCCGCAGAAGAAGATCGGTAAATCACCGAAGACGTCATCCAAGCCAGCAAATAAGAAAAAACGCAGGAGGAAGGAGAGTTACGCCATATACATATACAAGGTATTGAAGCAGGTGCATCCAGACACTGGTGTCTCTAGTAAAGCTATGAGCATCATGAACAGCTTCGTCAATGATATCTTCGAGCGTATAGCTGCTGAAGCATCAAGATTGGCCCAATATAACAAACGGTCAACCATCAGCAGCAGGGAGATTCAGACTGCTGTTCGTCTTTTGCTACCTGGAGAATTGGCTAAGCACGCCGTCAGTGAGGGCACAAAAGCTGTCACTAAATATACAAGCACCAAATGATGTTGCATTAATACTACTTTTCTTTGTCATTTTTATGTACTTTTTTATGTTCTTTTAATTTAATTCGTTTTTGAATTTGTACTTTTTCTTTGCTTTTGCTTAATAAATGTTTCCAGTTTTTTGGTACTTGACCACACAGAGTTTCTTTTTACAAATCTTCCCTTTCGAATTGTTTTAAAGCTTTGTATACACTAATTGATCAAAGTATGCCAATATTTTTAATAAAATGCATCAATTTTATAAATATTACCGAATTTGCATTAAAATTGTTACAGTTTTTGATAGAAAAAGGATCAAGCTCTTCGTTTTAACCCTACTAACAATTTATGGACTCACGTAGTTCGATAAACAAGCCAACCATTATCGATATCGATCAAAAGTTTCATAACTTTTTTTTATGTACCGTGCAGACTGCTGCACACGTTATATAAAACATAGTAAACTTCATACCCTAACAATGTGGATTTTTATTATTCAATATAACTTTATTTTTGTTATAAAAATATGTCATTTTTTATTAATTTAAATACATGTTTCCCACCGATTCTTCCATGATAAAATGCAAATTATTAATGTTATTTCTTGTGTGTTTTAATTAATATATTAACAATGTTAGGCAAATTAAATAAAATGATAGAATCACTTTGGTTGTTTTCTAGTGTCTTTACATTTCATTTCATTCATTTTCTCGAAAACTATAATACATAGAATGAATCAAAAAGATGCATATGAAAGCTGAATGTTTGGTAGGAATAACTGGAATCGATATATTACTGTGGTTTTAGCCGTTTGGCTGTCATTTGAGTTCATAGTTTAAAAAATGCTCGAAAAAGCAGTGTTTTGACATTTCATTGATTTTCTCGAAAACAATAATACATAGAATGAATCAAATAGATGCATATGAAAGCTGAATGTTTGAAGAATCTAGCAAGTATCGATATATTACTGTGGTTTAAGCTGTTTGACTGTAATTCGTGTTCAAAGTTTAAAAAATGCTCGAAAAAGCAGAGTTTTCACATTTCATTGATTTTCTCGAAAACAATAATACATAGAATGAATCAAATAGATGCATATGAAAGCTGAATGTTTGGGGAATCCAGCAAGTATAGATACATTCTTGTGCTCTTATCCATATTGCTGTAATACGCGTTCCTTTTATGTAATGGAGGGGGGTTGGGGAGGCGCCAAATGATTACATACTTTTTAGGGAGGCGTAGTAACATCAAGTTTGGAAACCACTGCTTTAAACTGTTAAATGTATAAAATTTTAAATGGAAATTGTGATAATCTTAACCGGCTATCAATCTGTTGAATGTCCCGTCTCGCGAAATCCATAAATCACAAATGCAAACGGCGCGAATCATGAGGAAAAATGAAAAGATCTTTGAGGGAAAAAATGGTGAGAGAAGAAGAAGAAGAAGCACAAAACCCCTTCGTTTGCATACACCATTTGTTACCCCCGCGCCCGTCGAAACTGTGAGGGGATTCCTTTCATCTGCATAAAGGAAATTCTCTTTTTTTCTTTCCTTCTTCACCCATTCTACTTCTTTTTCCTTCTATTTCATGCGGCGGTGAGGAAAGAAGTCGCAGGAGAGAGGATGAAAAGAAGAGGGAAAAAAAATACTCGAAACTGGTATTAACACCACTTCTCAAATTGAAATACATCCACGTGACAACATCATCTCGTGATCCACATCTCTCTCTTCTCGCACACATCTGACACCAACTTTCCCACTTACTACTCTGCACAAATCAAACATACTTTTTTTCCCCCCATTTCTCGCATGGAAAACACGCGATTTAAATACATTACATCTCTGTTTCACTTCTTTCATTATTTCTGTTTCTAATGTTGTATACGTCAGTTTTAGACGCATTCACTGTCAAGTATATAATTCCATAAATTATCGTGTGCGGTTGACAACCCTGGGAAATGATGGTTTCCCCGAGGTTACGCAATAATTACGATACACACAAATGAGCGCAACAATTAAATACTCAAGGTAACTTCAGCGAACGTCCCAAAAACATTAATTTCCACGCGAAATCAGTTTAAACAACAACATTTTCTTGCGATTAACAAATTAGTTTCACTTCCACAAAAAATGTTGACATCTGACATATATAACTTGTGATCGTTATTCAACTATTGTTATTTTTGCTATATGACAGTTCTTCAACTATTTATAATTGACAGTTGTTGTTGTTCAACTAATCTCAATTTTGTTTTTGATGTTGATATGTGACAGTTGTTCAACTATTGTCAATTTTGTTATTAACATATGACAGTTGTTCAACTATTGTTAATTTTGTTTTTTGTTGTTGATATATTACCATGGTTCAACTATTTTTACTTACTGTTGTTACGACCGTTGTTCAACTATTATTAATTTCGTTTCGCTTGCTGCTGCTGGTGGTGGTGTTATTGTGAACGTTGTTCAACTATTGTTGTCAGTGAAATATTCACGTAATGAATCATGGTGTGCGTGTCCACTCGAGCGATCTTTTCGTCCCATTAGACCTAGCGGTTCTTAACGCAGATACAAAGACCCTTCGCCTGCAACGACCGTGTTTCGCAAGAGATTAACAATCGAACCGTTTACATAACGCATCTCACATACCTCCTTTTTTCTATCTCTCTCTCTCTCTCTCTATTATTGCAACATTTCGTTGTTCCCTCTTACGTAGTCATTTGTCTTTTGTTGTTATGTTTAATTAATAACCGTTTCTCTCTCTTTCTCTCTCTCTCTCGCTTCAGTCGAATTCACGGCTCAGTTGATTCTCCGACTTGCAAGACTGATCTCGCTGCATATTATTCGATCCAGGAAGCGCCGAAATCGAGGAAACGATTTTCTTTTCGTTTCATTTCAAACACTTTCAATTACACTTTTCCTTTACAACAACAACAACAACACACCAAAATTAACCCAAACAAAATCAAAGAAAACTTTTGTATTCTAATGAAAATTATTTATTGAAACGTGCTGCACACGATAATTACTCGTTTGCGTAACCGCGCAAAACTGCAGTTCACTCTCTTTGTGCTTTATCCAGTTTCCTTTTTCCTCTTCCATTCTCTCATTATTATCTTTCTCTCTCTTCTCTTTATATTTATTTAAATGAAACAGTAAGACAAAGTGGATTTGATCGAGGCGGAAGGAAAGAAAAAAAAAATATACTTTTACGTATAATTATTTCCTTTCGTCTCTTGTGCTGCATTATTATAATAATCGTAATAGTTGATCGATCTTTCGGCAACAATTGTAATTACGCAAGATTTTTTATAAGAAATTATATCGTATCGATAATTCTATTAGCGAAGGTCAAAACGATTGCAATTGAACCACTTTCGTTTCGATTATGTTAAGTAAGAGCATTTCTCTGCAGACGATAATTCAACATCTCATAATGTAATTACATTTCCAATCGGTTTATTCAAATGCAAAATAATTATTACGCAATTATCAATGTAGTTTGACGCTAACTGAGCGATTATCCCAATCATTTATTTATAAGTTAATGAATTATGCACAATCGAGTAAAAGAATGTGACAAGATTTAATGAGAAATATCACGACATTAAAGAAATCTTTATTAATTTCATGATTGATTGAATAAAAATAAACATGAGAAGATTCCAAAGTGATTAAGTAACCGAAATTATTAAAAAACAATAACATGAAAAATTTGAAAGTCAGTTATTAAAGTAAATTAGTTAACAACAAAAAAAACAATGAGGAAGTGTGCAGAAAATTACCCATTTTTTCTTCAAAACTTAATACATTCTAAAATGTTTCTACCAGATTTGTTTCATAATATTTTTGGATTTTATTCAGTTAGTTTTGGATGTACAAATTTAGAAAATTGTAACGGATTGTTTTTAATTGTGCGTTTGCGTCCTTGTTTTTCCTGAGGTTATTGGACAGCGCGAAGGTCGAACGTGTTGTATAAACATAAAAATAAGTTAATTTACTTACTCTAAGTTTTCGGTTTAATTTCCGATGAAAAAATCACTTGAAAAATCAATGTTGAAATCAAATTTTCAGTTGTAACAAAAATTTACATCTTATTTACACTATAAAACATCTGTATTTCAATACGTAAATCATAATTTGCTCAAAAAAAAATTGTTAAATTTCTTCACAGTTCAAATTTTGCAAGAAGTAAATGAATAATTTGTTATCTCCTCACAAAATTCGTTATTACTTTAGAAATCTATGCAAACTACATCTATGTACATATTGAAACAGCTGTGTTTCAAAGCATAAATCAAATTTGATGCATTTCGACATAGTTCACATCAAATATTTTGTAACTAATACTTACAAAATGAACACAAATTTCATATTCTTATACAATTTCTTCATAGATCAAACCAAAGTAAACTATAATTACTAAGTTATAAGAAAACAATGTTAATATTAGACAAAATTGAAGAATCTTTCTAATTATAAAGTGTAACAAAAATTGCGAAATTTACATGTGTAAAGTGACTTAAATCTGTACTTTTGTTGTAATCGTTGTTCAACTATTGTCAATTTTGTTTTTTGTTATTGTTATATTACCATGGTTCAACTATTTATAATTGACTGTTGTTGTGATCGTTATTCAACTATTGTTATTTTTGTTATATGACAGTTATTCAACTATTTATAATTGACAGTTGTTCAACTACTGTCAATTTTGTTTTTTGTTGTTGTTATATTACCATGGTTCAACTATTTATAATTGACTGTTGTTTGATCGTTATTCAACTATTGTTATTTTTGTTATATGACAGTTATTCAACTATTTATAATTGACAATTGTTGTTGTTCAACTATTGTCACTTTTGTTTTTGTTATTAACATATGACAGTTGTTCAACTATTTTTGTTTATTGTTGCTGTAATCGTTATTCAACTATTATTGTTTTTGTTATATGACAGTTGTTCAACTATTTGACAGTTGTTATAATTGACAGTTGTTGTTGTTCAACTATTTTTATTTACTGTTGTTACGTTGTTTCATAGATCAAACCAAAGTAAACTATAATTACTAAGTTATAAGAAAACAATGTTAATATTGGACAAAGTTGAAGAATCTTTCAAATTAT